TCCTTCTCTTTCTAGCTTGTACTTATTTGAACAATGTCTAAGAACTTGGTATTACAACCACTTCCTGTGTCTGTTTGCCTCTTTAAGAAGAATCGCTTTATGTATCCCCCAATTGTAAGTCGCTTTGGATAAAAGCGTCTGCTAAATGACTAAATGTAAATGTAAAATGTAGACAAAAACTTTTTATTTTGGATGCGATTAATCGTTTGACAGCACTAATATATATATAACAAAATGTCTATAGTTTTATAGTTATAGTTTTTTTTGTATGCCAATAGTTTTTAATAATTTCTATTCTATAAGTTTTGTTTGTTTGAATTTATTTAGTTTATTTTAGTACTTTAAGTACTGAGCTGAGCTGAAATTCAAGTATCTGAAATAAAATACATGTATAAAATAAATACGGTTTTTTTTTTAATATATGTTATTTTATTTCAGTTAAATGCTTGTTTACATTTTTTATTATTTGTTTATTTATTTATTAATGGTTTTAGTAATAACCCTACTATAGACTACAGAAAATGTAACTAAAAAAGCAACTAAAATCTAGAACGCATAATCTAAGTATTTTTCACTTGCATCCAGAGAATAATCCTATTTTACCTCATATTCAAAGATGTATGAAGATTTCTAACTTAGAAAATATAAGAGATTTTTCTCTGTAAAACCTTTAGACTAATTTTGGGGTGAGAGCATAACGAAACGTCTCTTTGTAGGATTTGCAACCTCTTTTTTTTACATGTTAAAGCTTTAATAACTAACATGCAAAAGAGAAAACTATTCACTGTAGGGCTTGAAGTCCTCCGGCACCGTGCTGGGTTTGGCTGCGGGAAAAAATTATCCTACATTTAAAAAAAACACTTGTTGATATCACTTCATGAGTTATGAGTTCGCCTACCAATGTATGAGAGGAGCACAGCTTTCACTCTCAACCAAACTAACATCAATCAGACAAGATTTCCATCTATCGTCATATTTACATAGAAAAGCTATTAAAAAAGCAGCAGAGCTTTGTAGACAGCTCAGAGTAATCACGTCATCTCCAGAAGAACGATATGATTGCCAGTACAAAGTTACCGGGATTTTTGAAAAGGTCATGTTCTTCACACATTATCTCTTAACGGTAATTTACCAGTGAAGACTGTATGTGTGAAAGGGGCTGAACTCTTAATCTGCATCTGCGGTGAGTTTGGGTTGCTTAACGTTCATCTGCTAAAACTGTGTATCTCACTTAATTTGTAACTTAAGTCATTTATAAACCTATGCTAACACAGAATACATCAACATATTTCTAAATAAGCGATTTATTGTAGATCGCGATTTCAAAATAAAAGTTTCTCACTTTGCATGTGGCCAAATATTGCAATTAAATGGATTTAAACGTCGTTAAATCACATGATAATTATTATTGCCTCATCGTTAGTTTATATATAAATATAGTCATATTAAAGCCTGTTTTTCACTTAGTTCTATTTGTATTACTAAAACATACTTGTCAAAATAATCAGTAGATTACTTGATTAGCAAAATAATTGTTAGTTAAGCCCTAGATTTATTAAAACATTTCAAAATATAACTGCATTGTTCTACGTTTTGTAATTAAAAGACAAATATTTTGTCATTCAAATATTTCTTAAAGTATTAAAGCATTGTCTCGTTCTAGTGAACCAAGTATCTGTATTTAGTCTCGTCTCGTGAGCTAAGTGTGTTGTCACACCCCTAGTGTCTATGAGCGTGATAAAGCTCATGACTTTACAAGTGTATGATATAACTTTCATTCTTCAGATCATATATTCATGAAATAAAATCAGTTTGAATAAGGAAAGCGATAACTTTGCCATAGTATCCTTTCAAATGTTAAAGTTGCCACAGTCATTGCATTCTTTGCATGT